CTTCCTGCCACTTCAAAATTCAAACTTCATACCAAACATAAGTCTACTATTCTTTTTCTTCCGATGTTTAGTCATTACAGCCCTGAGAATCATCAGCCTTCCTACTGCTTACAGAGAACATCATGAAATTTATTTCCCCAAACCACATATACACCAAAGATTTAAAACATCCACCTCAGACACATCATTCTTCATGCAAGTGGTACTTCCTAACAGAAACAAATCGCACAACAGTTTACAGTAACATCTCCAAAACATCTCTTCACATAAAATCACTTACAAAAACTCTTGCTACCAACTCAGCAGCACTGTGTATCTACTGCTTCTTGGAAAAGCAGCACAGTTCAGTGTTGTTAATTCTCAATTACCTTCTTGCTCAAGTACAAGTCTCCTAACAGCTGACAAAGACTCCATGCCACTTAGAAAATCTGATAGCTTGCATTCATTCAGAAGCAGGTTGGGGCCATAGTAACCACTCAAACTTTTTATACCATAAAATGGAACCCTTCAGTGTAGTAAAATTACATTTAAGAAGGAAAAAGACTGAAATCTATGATTTCTTATCTGGCTTTCCTGTAATAAGAATGTAATTTGATAATTTGAAGGACTCTGAGAAAAGACTGTGTAAATAACCAGTGCACTTCTATTAAATTTATGACAATGAATTTGCATAGAAAATTGTGGAGAAATATTTGGATATTATGTTATAGCCACATTAAGTACCCCTTAACTTCATCTAGCAGTGCGATAGAAATGCAACAGAGAAACAAATTCTCACCCATGGGTAATTACAATCTCCCTGCTTAAATTCCTAATCACTTCTTTTCCTACAGTAATATTCACTTTTCTGTTTTTCTCAGACATGAGTGACTGCTTCTGGTTGCAGCCTCATGTTGTAAACATCTGTGTGAAGAGAAGATGAAAGCTCAGTAAGCAAGACTCGCTTTGAATAAGGAACTTGAGTTACATATCAATACCACCATCATAAAATCATCAGAAGCTGGGCTGTTTCTGTGGAGGGATCTGACCTTGCAGACTCCTCATTTCACTATCTATAAAGTTTATTTTCTTCCTCTCCTCCCCACCCCCCCACCCCCAAATAAATACCAGGAGAAAACAAGTGTTACTTTCACAGTCAAAATCTCCAGACCAAGCATTCCTTCAGGGTTTTTACTCCTTAATGCTCAGTTCAAACTTTTGTACAAACTCTCTTTATCAATATTCTCTTTTCTTCCTTGCTGAAACAAGAGTGACCATCACAGAAGTCTACCAAAGGGAGTAAGAAATCAAACATATAGAGCACGATGTCTCTAAATATGTCATTGATATACATAAATGCAAGTGCTGACTGCTGCCGAAGGCCACAGAAGAAATATTAAGCCAAACAAGATCAGAAAAAGGAAGGCCTTCTTTGTTCTGATTATCTAACCCATCAGACTTTTATTTAAAGGGGAAAAACACCACATAGTGATAATGGGATCTTGCCTTAGCATCTCAAGAAAAGCAGTGAGAAATTATTAAACAGCTACAACACACAAGCAGGAGGGAAGATGGGGAACACAAAATTTGCTGGTTTCTCCCTGAGGATAAGCCACCAGCACCCTTGAACCAAGAGGAATACGAGGGATCTGCTTCCAGGAAGAAGCCTTTAACAATGCCAGGAAAAACACAGGGATGGGATTCGCATTCACAAGGACTCTTGGCCTACTGATCCCACAGGCAGGGGGAACGCCAGCTGTCCACCTACTCCATCTCTAAGCTAGAGCAGAATGACACCATCCTTCCCTCTTGTCCTCCCTGCCAGTTCCCACAGCTTTCCCTGGTTATTCAGGCTGTGCACGGGGAACAGGATTTAAATTACTACAAAACACTTTCCTAATTTAAATTTCACTCCTGTTACCAGACCTATTGGGTACCACTGATCTCAGGAGGGAACGTCAGTGAGGTGAAAGATTCAAGGGCTTTGAACTAATAATCTGAATTGCTCCAGCAATTGCTTCTGTCATTGCTAAAATGAAAACACCTAGAATAAAGTGCAGGAGCAAATGTAAGGTGGTAGTAAACAATGAAGAAAAAGAAAAGAACCACCACACTGAGAAAATACCCAGCTATAATTGCAAAGGGGATTTTAGTAAGAAAAATAATTGCCGACAATGGAGAAAATATTTCATCACAATACTAAATTAACAAAGTTGGAAACCATTACTAGTAATATTGCCTGGCTGCTACACAGCCTCTTTCATCCACAGGCGTCAAGACTCCTTACAGGTTGGTAAGATTCACTATTCCTATTTTAAATTCCTTCAAAAGAAAGCATAAACAGGTGAAGTGATTTGCATCAGGCTGTCCGGATCGCTCAAGCACTAGGCCTGAATCCTACCCAGGTGGAAATATCACCTCTTCAAAGTTTCTAGACACTGCCACTTGTGTTTGTTGAGATGGGAATTTCTCTGTGAATAGAGCCTTCAATGAGAAGTTCTCTCCACACTGCAGCCCTTCTCCTGCAACCAGATCTACTCATACAGAGCCCAAAGCTCAGGAACCACTTCTCTTAAACCAGTGAGATTTCACAAAGGGAAAGGCTCCTCCATGACAGATCAAGCAGAACTGGGACCAATTACAGATTAAGATATTGCTTCCTTCCACATCTTTCCTTAATTTTTAGTCTGCTGAGGAGAGGCAAAAAAAGCCCACACCTCCTTCCCCCCAGATAAAACAAAACCAAAAACCCCCCAACATAACCAGCTATGACAACCTTTCAAGTCCTAGAGCTATCACTTCAATAAGCCTCTTTCATTGAAAAATTCATCTGGCTCACTCAAAAAGGCACAGCGTGTGTGAACTAAAGGAGGGGAAATACACACACAGTACATTTCATAACTTAAAAGAACTCACAGAGATGAGGAGTGATAATAGAAATGTGACTTCAGCAATGAAAAATTAAAGAAAGTAAGTTCCGCTTTCATAACAAATTGCAAAGAGAACTCAATTCTATCAGCAATAACACAGAAAATGGTCCTTCACTTACCAATAAAGAAAAATTGTTCTGCTAATTAAAGTTCAACACAAAAACCAGCATAACTCAGCTTTCACCACTCACAATTTCTGCGCTGTCAAAGCTAAGCCAACCAAAGCCTGATTCATCTAAGAGTGAATCCCTCAGTTTGTATCCCGAGGAGTGGGGGAAATGTGGTGGTCACTTGTACACATCCCCTCATCTCAGTTTCAACTGCATGTTCAAAATCAGCTCCTGGCTGCACAGGACCAGCGAGCAGCCCGATGTCCCCAGACTGTCCCCATCAAACACGCTTTGCCCCATAAAAATAACAAACCCACCGGCGGTTTCATTCACAAGCTGCTATAACCCAAACGTGCTGAAACAACTGAGTTTAAAACACGTTATTTTAAAACCTGTCTGTTCTACCAATCAGTCTTGGAAAATAATGCGCACTTACCCAGTACCACTTCTTTTAACTCAGAGGTTTTTTCATCTCTACAAAGGATTATGTCTTTTTTAAATATAAATAAAGGGGGAGGGAACTATGCTATCCTTCCCCTTGTTTCAATTATATTATTTATTAAGAACAACAACATTAGAAGACCCCAACAATTCAAACCATCCCAACAAAACAATCCATGAAGCACTCAATTTGTCAACGGGGATATTCATTCTCAGGAGATTTGCGTGTCTTACAACTGAATTCCTTTATTTCTTCAATGAAAAGTGAAATATACTCTGTTACTTTAAAACTCCATCTCAAGCTCACTGTATCTCCGATAATGCAAAAATCTGGTTGCCTTGTCACCTCTCACTCGTTTTGTCATTCGCTGGAAAGCAACCTTGCAACTGCCTCCCTGCAGTCAGCTCTTCATTTCCATCAATGATGTGTTTAATCATGTTACTATAATCAAACAACAGTTTGACCAACAATGTACTGAAGCCAAACAACTTCACTCATTTGGAAACTGATATAAAAGGACATGACCCACCCTAGGAGGAGTAACATATATCCTTTCCCTACTTGCAGATTTGCCCTATATATACATGTACACAGTCTCTGTTGGGAGGGCTGTATGGCAACCTGCAGTGGGAACTCCCCTATTTTCAGTTTCAGGACAGTTGCATCATGTGGAAGGTGCTCTCGGGCTCTGTGTTAGACCTCCCAACTTGTAGCCAGTCGGCCCTGACAAAGCCTCCTGCAGAAAACAAAAATGAAAGCTCCTCTGCCAACCCTTCAGTCGCTCCGAGGGTTAATTTTACAGCAGCTGTTAAATTCTCTCAATTTGTTTTTTTTCCATCCTTCAACAAACCCTACCTAAAAACGTTTCCCTACTCGTATTTTATGGTTGTGATTTCCTGGCTGTCGCCAGCCGTTCCCTCCCGCCCCGCCCGGCACAAAAACAAAGCTGACTCCCACCCCCTGCCTCCCGCCACCCTCCTCCCTGACGGAGCACCCCCGGAGCCCGGGCAAGCCGGGCTTCTGAGAGGCATCCCCCGCTCTCCACACCGGCCCCTCCGCCTGCCCCCGCCGCACCGGGCTTAGGGCCGCGCCGACCCGCCCGCCGGCAGCCGCGGGCCCACGGCAGAGCGCGGCAGCCCCCGGCGCTCCGGTAGAGCCCGCCCGTAAACAGCCCCGGAGCGGCTGCCGCTGCAGGCCCCTCCGCAGACACAGGGCCCTCTCCAGCCGGCACCGCTCAGCCCCCGGCCCGGCCGGCACTCCTCGCTCGGCCGCTCGGTCGAGCTGCGGGTCACCGAAGGTCCCCTGAGGCCTCCCCGGAGCCCCCCGCCAGCCGGGCCCGGCCGGCCTCGGCCCCCGCGGGGGGTGAACGGGGAAGTCCTGACTTACCTGTCATTACTTTCTACGCCATCTTGGATCCACTTGTCAACGTCCCCACAAAGCATTGTGGGAAAGCCCTCCCCCGCCCTGCGCCCGGCCTGGCCCGGCCCGGCGGCCAGCGGGGCAAGGCGGGGAGCGGCGGGGCTCGGCGCTGCCACCGGGACCGGGGACACAGCCGGGGTCGGAACCGGGGGCAGGACCCGGACCCGGACCCGGGGCTCCGTTCGCGGCACGATGGGGCAGGCGGCGGCTGGAGGAGGGCAGCCGCGGACCCCGGCCCACAGGTCTTCCCCTCAGGCAGCGGCGTGAGGAGCCCGTTCCGCGCCGCGGGGGCTGGGAACCGGCAACACCGGGGTGGGTTTTTTATTCGTTGTTTTCTTTCTCTTTATTTTCCTCGCCCCCTCCCCTTCCTTGGGAATCGCGTTGCTGCCTCTGCACGCACACAGCAGCCCCTCAGCGCGGGGCAGAGCTGCGCACACGCGTAGAGTCCCGCCGGTAAGCTGTGAGACAGGGTGATGCTGTGCTGAAACGCGTGTTTGTAGCGGGTTTTGTACTGTTCTGATGGGTTTGGGCTTAGTTTGTCTTCGGGGTTTTGGTTGATTGGTTGGTAGTTGATTGGTTGCTTAGTGTCTGCCCTTACAGACACTCGCAGCCCCCGGGGCCCACAGGCGGAGGCTGCAGCCAGGCGATGGAGCAGTGCCTGTTGTACATGGTGTTCTGCAGACCCACCTGCTCCTGCCCAAGGACTGATGGTAACGTGGGTCTGGCTGCGCAGGAGTTCCAGAAACTGCTTTGCATAACAGTTGTATTTTCACAGGGTAATCTTCCCTGTTAGCTGTGCGCTCCAGGGGTTTGGCAATCGATTGTTCGTACCTACACGGTTGTGCAGACTGGCTTCTCCAAGGCAAGGCTGTTGGGGATGGTGCCTCTCGCTCTGCAGAGGCCATCGCGCTTCAGGGCAAAGCGGGTGAGGAATCTGGGGGGAAACGGCCTACTTCAGGCTCTTAATAAAGGTTATCAACAGACCAGGATTGCGATGTCTTTAAAAACACTTTTCCTTCTACTTTAATTAAAATAATTATAAGATCCAGATCATTTTAGTATTGGATTTTCCTAAATACATTTATATTTAAATTTACATGTTACGCCTCCCAGCTCTTTGAAGAATAACCACCAGCCAAACCTCTGATGCACTGCCACTGCAAGAAGATACTTGTGCCCGAGATTATTTTCAATATTCATCAGTAATGCATTTATAGAGAGCTCCTTGCAAAAAAATGTAAATGCAGAAGGAAATAAATGTAAAGAAATCCTTTGCATTTGCAGCGCAGACTTAAATCAGTCCACTTCTAATTCGACTTTATAAATACAGTTGGGAGTGTAGTTCACTGTTCCACTGCCCTGCCTGAGGCCCTGCTGGATGGGAGTGTGGTTGATCCCAGTCTCAACCCAGGAGACTCCATTGCAGGAGGACAGAAGCATTTCTGCAGCCATCAGCCTCCCTGCTGGTCCGTGGGAGCCCAAAGGACATGATCCAACATGATCTAGAGCTGCTTCCACGAGCACTGTGCAAGGACCAGGAAGTTACAGTGAATCAGCTAAAGGTGAAACCATGTTTAGGATGTAAGTAACTGTGTGTCTCCTTCAGTCCAGATTGCTGGAGTGGAATTAGTTCTGTGATTTTGGAGGTTGGATGTTTGGTTCTTAGTGAGCTTCTGTATTACTGGTGACATTTTCTGTTACAAAATGAAAAGAAGGTTTTCCTTAATTTTCTTTTTTAAAGCAGTGGAAAATAGGATGAGTTTTATGTGTGCATGTATCTAAAAATACACATACATCCTCTGGAGTTCTGTTTGGGGTGAGGCACAAATTTGCTGGGTTTATTTTTGATGTGAGCTCTCATTAACTTTTAAATCCATTTGTTCTGACAGTATTTCTTTATGCTGCACTAGGAAAAAATGGTGTAGCTGGTGACCAAGTTATACAAGGAAGGATTTGTTCAATGACAGACACCATTTTCATTGCTGCCTGTCTCTGTTGTGTCAAAAAGCCTAGACTGAAAGTATTGAAAGGCAAAGCCTGCTGTCAAAGGAGGGCAGAAACAGCCCAGAAAGGAGCAGGGGAAAGACCACAGCAGCAGGGGAATCCCCCGACTCCAAAAAAGTGCTGTGTATAAAACACAGTATTATGGAGTCTCTGCCCTTCCACCCACTGCTTTTTATGATGTTACTTAAACTAAACCTCTTAGCCTCCATATGAAGTAGGATTTACTTTATTTTGTAGACTGGTTAACTGTATTGCATAAACCCCAAGTGGACATGCCAGAGGCTAGAGAGCTAGCCACTCTAGCTCGGATTGGCTGGCAAGCACTACTTTGTTCAAGTACTGCTACTGAGCCTGCAAGATGGGAGTAACTGCGTTGTTTGCTTCAAGCTCTTTCATAGTCTTTTTGTACCAGACAGAAAGAGGAAGAATGTTGGTCCAAAACAAATTTGGGCTCCAAGCACTCATTAACTTTGGAAATTCTGCTTAAAGTTCAAATCATACAGCGATGAGATCCCAAAACCAAAGAGCCGTAATGCAATGAAACTTTGGTTTTAGGGATCCTTCTATTAGAACAGCACAGAGGGCAGAGTATGCCGCTAGCAATGGGTCATACACCACATAGGAAGAAAAAGACTCCTTGTGGCTTTTATTGACATGTTTCAATATAGTATTAAAGGATAATTTAAGGAAATAAGATTGTAATATTAGCTGCTGCTGTGGGGGGAACTCCATGAGATGTCTCTTTCTCTCTCACTGAATTGTATTACCCAGTGGAAACTGTGATTTGGGCTTCCAACTGCAATCAGACACATCATTCACAACTCTACAGGCTGAGATGACAAGCTAGGCCTTCACTCAGCACTGGGCTAGACACAGAAACATGTGTTATGTGCTGACTGCACTTCCAGAACTGTTCAGGCTTTCTAAATTCCTGGAATCCCCGTGTGCTGTCCTCACTAATGGGATTTCATGACAAGAAGAGCTCGCAGCACTAGGCTTCTGACCAAGACCAAATCACATGGAGTCTGGGAGCAGAAGAAAAGCAACAGTATGTTGCAAATGTAAGAAATGCCCAAGGCATAATGGGGAAGCATGATAGGAGCAAAACAATTAATCTCTGCTCATCATCATGAGACTTGACAGGACTCAGATCCTCAATAGCCAAACAGTGATATTTCTAGGGACTCGTTACAATGGCAAGATTAAAACAGAACAACAAAACCAACACACACACCCCAGCGACGGCAGCAACACCAAATTCAATCCCACTTCTACATTTTTTAGGATTTCAAAACCTTTCAGATCTGAAAACTGCAATTTCCTGCTGAAAAAAAACATTTAGAAGGCCCCACCTCCCAGTGACCAAAACTGCAAGGAAGTCCTGTACAGAAGGCACTAACACATCCAGTCTCCCTACCCCTAAGCTGGGATTCTGTAAGTGCCTGATCACAGGGCTTCTCCCTATTCTGTGAAGCTAGGAGCCATTCCCAAGTCCTTGGAGAATGTAGGCTCCTTGCCAGAAAAACAGGAGTTTGAAAACCTGGGGCCACTTGGGGCTGCTAGGCTCCCTGCCACGAAGCTCAGATCTGAGTAGAACTCCGCGAGGTGTGGCACAGATCCTGGAAGAGTTGGGAACTCTGAAACCCTCACTTGCTTCGGGGCTAATGGAGAGCTGGTAGCCAAAAAGCCCTAGAGTCCTGGCTCAGGCGTGAGCTGCGCACTTGGGATCACAGCAAGAGCTTGGTTTCTACATTTTCAAAACAAAACTATTACTGCAGACTTACACTGCTGCTTTGTTTCTTTCTCCTCAGCCTTCTGCCTTCCCAGGAAATTGAGAACATAATTTTTCATTCTGTGATAAAGTTCACTCCTGTTTCGGGAACTGGTGTTTCTTGAATTCCAATACAGAAAACTCAGTTTTCAATCAGCTCCGTTCATGATAGCTAACTTCAGAATACAGAAAAAACCATTACAATTGACATGTAAAAGTAGTAAGCTTATAATAGAACACATTGAGCAGAGAATTGCCTCCCTGACCCTGCAGCCTAACATCCCAGCAGGCATCCTGAGCAGTTTTCACCTCTGAGAAACAGAACAACAGGAGGCCTTTCTCAACAGAAGTTCCAGGCTGATTGCAGTACTAGAAGCAATGTTTTTATTGTCTTTGCACACTGGAGTTTATAAGTTTTTGAACTCCTTCAGAAGCAGCAATCATGGGAAATGAACAGAAGTGATGTGACTTACCCTCTGCTGCAAACAAGCCAGTGGCAGACCTGAGGTTAGATAGCAACAGTAATTCTTAGTCTTACTAAACAATAAAGCAAACTGTTTTTCCAAGCAACCATGAATGCCTGATTATTAAGCTGAAGAGTAGCAAGTTGTGATTTTCCAACATGAAAATTCCCCTGGAATTCCTCCAGAGTCCTCTAATGAACAAATGATCTCAGCTTTAATCTTATTTTGCAATTATCCAAGGATAACATTTCTCCAACGTGGACTCTTTTAAACACATACATTTTCTAGAACAAGTAATATTCAAACTAATTCATTCTTCCTTTGATCCACAAAAGGAGAGTGTTGAGACGCAAACAGCAATAAGGGGATATTGGGAGTACATTGAGGAGATAGGAACTACAAAGTTCAGATTAATGCAATGGTTTGATCCCACATTGTCAAGATCAAAGATCTTCAGTCTCAATGCTTTTTTAAGAAGCCAGCATGCCTTTGACCTTTAAATTGCTCCTGGAGGAGTTGTATCTGACATACATCTGCATTCTTGAGATGAACTAGCACCAGAAGTTTACAGCTCATCTTCTTTCCTAGCAAGCCGATTGTGGCAACCTTTTCCACACTAAAGATACACTCCTTTTGCTTGCATTAACAGTAGTCTGCCAGAAAAAGAAAACCAATGAAAAAACCCCAACCCCCAAACTCCATGCTAAATAAATTACTGGATTCTTTTCAACTCCCTTGGGCTTACTGTACAGCTTAATCATTCTACACTGTTTTTAAACTCCTCTTCTAACTTTGTGATGTGTGGGGAGGGAAACCCCAAGGGATTCTTGCTTCTGGCACCAAGTACTAGGTACACACCAGGTCTGTCTCGCTCTTGAGGACAGTTAGGTAGGGAGTTTGCCTTGGGCAGTATGTTGTCAAGGCAAGACAACCAAGTCAAACCAAGTGAACACTGTGAGGACAAAAATCTGTTTCAGACCAGAAGGCAAAAAGGTTCATCACTGTGGATCTTTGGTATGAATACAGGCCCTGAAAGTGAATCTTCATAATCCTTCTAAACTGAATTTTAAGGAGATACCTGGACCGTTGAAAGGTAAGAGTGCTTCCCAGTTCCTCCCAATGCTGACAGCAAAAGGTATTTGTGAGGCGAGAAACCATCTCCACCCTCCTACAAGCTTGTGCTCTAAATGCAGACAAAGGCAGCAGAAAGGGATATAGCTAGGCCAGAGAGATTTAAAGATCCACAAGAACCCCAGTAAGTAGGGTCAGGAAACCACTGAACTATTCCACTCTAGGATGAAAAGGGAAAAGAGAGTTGGCTGGGGAAACAGGTCCAGTATCTCTCATCTGGCAGAAGTGTCAGAGCCATAAGCTTGAATACTTGGGGTTGAAGATTCTGGTCCAGACTTGCAACAGAAGAAAAAGGTTTATAATAAGAACAGGGAGATGCAAATTCTCATTTCCCCTGATGATCCACTGCTCCCCTTTCTGATCCCACTAGCCTCTGCTTCCAGATTATTTTCCAGTTGAGAAGATCAAAACTGAAGTTAATTTGCTCATCACCCCAGCAACAGCCAGTTTTGCTCATGCTAAGTCTAACCTTGCACAGACCAGTACATCCCCTTCTTGGACATGGTTGTGACATGATTTTACACAGCTCATGCAGTTGGGAACATAGTACAGTTTAGGAAGTTAGATGCATCTTAGGCACTGGAAACAGTCTGCTCCTCTTTCTCCCTTCCCTCACCGATAGTTCAGCTGCTTTTTCTTGTCACTTAAATGCAGTGAGCTGGATTGGCATGGCTTGATAAGGTTACAATCCTCCCAAAAGACATTCCCAAGTTTCCCTTAAACTGTGTCTACATTTCAAATTGAAATCACTGCTTAGAAGCTTCCATCTTTTCCTGTCCCTCCACAAACCTTCCTCACTCAAAATCACTGTCTGAAGTTCCCTGGTTTCCTATGTATTCATATGGTAATTACCTGTGCTAAGAGTGGTGGTGTCAATGAAGTTCAGTGTGCTTTAAGAGGATTTGTAAACACCTCAGTACATCATTTACAATTACAGTCTCTGCCTAATTAATTATGAATAGTTAGTTATAGCTAGCATCATTACAAACCAGAGCAAACTCAGTAAGTCCCACTGATTCCTACCATACATTCATGCTATGATTTTACTTCCTTAAAAAGCCAGAACAGGCACAAGGGGAAAAGTCTACAGCTTCTCTCCATTACAAGTAGGTTTAGAGCAAATAATAGAACATTAGCTTCTCCAAATGTAACACATTCAATGATGAGAAGCAGCAGCTCTGAAGTACTACCTTAGCTAACTGCATAATTGCTTTTGTATCCATAATAAACTCTTACCAAAGAAACTGAAAATCAGTGCCTTGCACCAAGCAAAGTTCAGGTAGATTTCTCATTCAGTTTAGAATCAGAAGTCTATCTGTAGTCTCAAATCACAAAAAATAGCACTATTCTTAAGCATGAACATCCAGAATTTTGCTCAAAAAGTATCCTGACATAACATTAAAATATTTTAAGTTACCTCAATGCATGCTATTGCAAAACCCTAGGATTTTATTATATACTGTATATCTTCTCAATCTCAGCCTCACAAATAGTCCTGTAATGAAATAACCACAGAATTATGTGTTAGAGAGATACAGGTATACATGAAAAAGAAATCACAAGACTGCTATTATACAGGCAATACAGTTTTATTATGCTCTTCCACCAATTGTAGCAAAAACATTAAACAACTGAAAGACTAATCAAGGGAACTTAATTGTCAACAGGAATTTCAGATTTATGTTCTAAATTTTAGACCAGGAAGGCCTGACAAGGAGAAAACAAACCATACACACATTGGAATAATAGTCTCTATTATGAAGATTTTATACCTTCTTCAAAAACACTGAGATTACTGAAGCACCTTACTGCAGGTTATGTATCATCTCCTCTTTGGCAATGAGATGCGTGGTTTTGTTAACTAGGGCCATGAGTGAGTTGAGCTTGTGAGACCAGTCATTGAGTATATTGTTTGGGTCCTTTGGCCTCTGAAAATTGATAATTCCTGCCAGCCTGTCTACC